ATTAGCATAAATAACTTAAATTATTATTGATTTGGAAATTAATTCAAAATAATCTTCATTCTGATGAAAACTTGATTCTAAGAGGTTGTATTTTACCCTCAATTGTAACTTGTGCTTCGAGTAAAGTGAGTCCTCCAATCATATTTGTCTGCAGTTTTCCTTTAATTTAGCTTTATGGAACCAGTTGAATTCTATTTCAATTATGAACATCATTTTAACTTTCATATCTAATATGTGTGAAGTTTGCAAAAGGGGGTTGAGTCCTTAATGTAAGTTTGTAATTTCTTATGTTATTATCAATATTATTTAGATTAGTATAAATAACATAAGATTTAATAATTCCAATCATGTTTAGAATTTTGTTATTGCTTGGATTATGACTAATATTAACATGTCTAGTTATCAACCTCTCTAATAATTGGTCTTTCTATCTCTGACTTCAATGTTCTGAAGGCTTTAAGGTTTAAACTTTTTATCCAAAAGATCCCAAAATTATTAAAGTGTTATGGCATCCTCTTATATTTGGTTGGATGAAGTGTAATACTGATGATGCATCTCTTTGAAATAAAAAAAAAAAACCTTTTGATTCTCGAGGTATGTTCATAAATAACAATAGATATCATCTAGGTTGTTTTGTTGAATTCCTAGAGACCTCAAATGTCTTTGAGGCTAAACTTTCAAGGGTCCCTTGTGTAATTGAAGTTGACTTTGAGAGAGGTTGAAACAATATTTGGATTAAATATGATTCTAAGCTCACTACTCTAGCTTTTACAACTCCTAACATGGTTCTTGGCTATTAAGAACTAGATGAATGATTTGTCTTGCTAGAACTCTAAACATGAACATTTTGATAACTCGTGTGTATAGGGAAGACAATCATTCTGCATACAGGCTAGAAAATTTAGACATTTCTTTGTATAATTGTGTATCGTAATATGATTTTTCTCTTGTTACTAGGGATGGTTTCAATAGAAATAAGTTTGGTCTCCTTATATTTCGCTTTCCCTAGTGTGGGGGTCTTGGTTGACCCCCTCTTTTAAATTTTTCCTATTTTTCTTTTTATATATTTTGGTTTCAGTTTTTTTATTAAAAAAACAACTTAATGGCCATTTTAATCCTATCATTAGGCCCATAGCTCGGTGGTAAAGCATTTGACTGCACATTAAGAGGTAACCAGTTTGAATCCAGTTGAGCCCTTTTTGATAAATAATTTATATTAAAAATCACTTAAATATAATTAAATATTTTTAAAGAAGTTACCCTTTTAGAATTATTTTTTATTAAAACAAGTAACCATTTATAACTGACTAATTGTTTCTAAATAAGTTATTTTGGCTTTGAATTGAGATTATTATTTTTTAAATTATTTTGTCTATATATTATTACAAGTTCTCAAATAAATTAATTAAACATCTTATACTTTAGGATACATGAATTGGGTTCATAGCTCGATGGTAGAGTAGAGCATTTGACCTTAGATTAAGAGGCCACAGTTCAAAATTAGTCTGACCCTTTTTGATGAATAATTTATAATAAAGAAAAGACTTAAATGCAAGCAATTATTTCTAAAGAAGCAAGTTACCATTTTAGAACTAATTAACTTTTATTAAAGGAAGTAACCTCTTAAAAGATAAAAGATACTTACAAAAGGCTGGTAGACCGTGGAATATGAGTATCAAAGGATACTGACCTCACCCTTCGGACGTCAAAATGATGATGTTAATCCCTTAGGGAAATTATCAACACGAAGGTTATAGCATCACAAAATCTAATATGAATTTTTCCTAAGAAGACACTTGGTCAAATAAACTAGGAGGAGCAGACATATCGTACTTTGAAGGATCCTCATACATATGTCCTTTCACACAATTGTCTAAAGTAGTAGGTTATAGGTTCCTAAAAACCATACACTAGTGCAGAAATGACTTTTTACATCGGGTGAAATTGATTTTTTACATCGGTTTTGGGTCCGATGTAAAGTCAGGCGATATAGTAAATCAGAGACTTTTTACATCGGTTCTGGGACCGATGTAAAAAGTCTCTTTTTTACATCGGTTATAATATCAGAACCGATGTAATAACCTGTTATTATGCACATTTTTTAAAAAATTGATCCAGTTTTTTACATTGGTTGGAAGTAATACCCGATGTAAAAAGTCCATTTTTTACATCGGTTTTAATATATGAACCGATGTAAGAAACAGTTATTATGCACATTTTTAAAAAAAATTGATCCAATTTTTTACATCGGTTGGAAGTAATACCCGATGTAAAAAGTCCTCAGTGACACGACTTTTTACATCGGTTATTATCCCCAACTAATGTAAAAAGTCCCTTTTTGAAAGTTTTTACATCAGTTTTTACTAATAACCGATGTAAAATGTATGAAATTTTTTTGGAATAGATTATTTATTTTCTGGGTTTCCCTATACAAATATAATTTGTACCCATTTTTTCATATTTTTCCAATATCAAACAAACTATATTTATGTCGCTATATAGATTTCATAACTTTCCAACATCACATATATCACATTTAGGTCGATATTTTCATATTTTTCACAACAAACTTACAAATTGAACAATTGTATTGCAAACTTGTATTGTATTACAACAAACAAACTTACAATTACAAATTCTTCACAAAATATAAAACAATATTCAACTATTTATAAGTCTTTTTCAAAACTTACAATTACATAATATTCACAAAATATACATATACAAAAATATTCAACTATTTCTAAGTTTCCAAACTTGAATTACCAATATAAAATCTTCGGTAGACAACACCAAAATCATATTGCCTGACAATAAATAATAACAATTAACATCAGCAAAAAAAATCAAGAAACTCAACACATGAGCAAAAACCACATGTATTGTGCAAAAACCACAACTTATACAATTCTATAAAACTCACCAAGATAAACTTAAGTTCCATGTAACTCAAAGAAACATTTTGCCCAACGAAGTCGCAAATCATACAAATCATCTGGTGTTAATTCTGTTGGGTCATCAAATACCTATAATACATAAATATAACAATATAGAGTTATTTTTTAAAAATTCATATTAAGTCGAAAAACAAAAAGTAAATAACAAAGTAAAGTTATTTTTAGTACCTGCATCCAATTCTCGGTTATATTAGCAGAGACAATATCCAACATATTTTTCATCACATAGTATCCACAATCATTAGAGTTATGTTGTTGCCTTGTCTACAATTGAATGGCATAATTAGTGAATATTTATCATAAATTTAACTATAGAATTACAATTTACATCACACTTACATTGGGATGAAGCCATGTAGTATCATACGTATGTGCCCTCTTAAACGAATCTTGTCCAATATCACGCATCATGTCTTCTAGACGATCATCCATTTCTACACTAACATCATCTCCTTGAGACACGTTTGACTTTGCTACTACTTCACCGTGCCATATCCATTTTGTATAACTTTGACAAATCCCTACACAAATTAGATGATCCATGATTTCTTTCTTACTACGTTTTGGTTCTTTATTTTCACAACGAATACATGGACAGAGAAAAAGCGTAGGAAGACTTTTGTCAGCATTACTTTCAGCAAACTGTAGAAATTCCATCACTCCATGTTCGTACTCGTCACTTAATCGATTAGCTCTCATCCAACTACGATCCATAACTATGTTCACACGGAGGAAGGTCTGACGAACGGTGTGTCCGCGGCTGCGCTACTTCACGGAGATTCCGAGATTGCAAGTTGCGCTGCTTCGCGGAGAAAGAAAAATAGAATCAAATTTCAATGGCAAGGTGATAACTCTATTAAGTTTGATAGGTTAAAGATAAACAATGTATTTCTGAGAGGACCATTAATTCTTTTGTCATAGGTTTCTAAATTTTCCACTTCTTTTATTTGGTGAGCATAAAAATAGGAGAAAGAGATTCAAATATAATAGTATAATAATAGTAACAAGAATGGAACAAAGTATAAAACACACGAGTAACAAAGTGTAATTTATAATAGTATAGTAATAGTAATGAGATTGTAACAACGAATTGATAAGCAAAATTTGGCAAAACATTGATTTTAAACCAAATATCGTTGAACAACTATTTGGTAACATAATTAGAATATTAATTATTTATAAAAATTTAGATACTCCCTTCCACTATTTATCTCTTTTCAATATCTTCTTACAATCTAACATACTTTAAATATAAACTCAAAGAGGAATAATGCTAATCACTCATTTTCAAACAAAAAATTGCACTTACAGTTGAAACGGCGAGCGAAGAGTCGTGAAGGGCGTGAATCGGCCGGCGAGGAGTCGTGAAACGGAGATTTCGAGATTCCGAGATTGCAAGTTGTCACTATAGTTTTTCCAAGTCTTCCTTTATATTTAGCTGTTGGACTCACAATGCAAATGGAAATGGAAATTGAAATTGTTATAGCAACATGCAAAAGTAAGACAATTGCCATGGAGAGTCAGTAAGAAACAAGGCCAAACAATGTAATATCAATTGCCATGGATGCATGATACCACAGGTTATAACTGCCAGGATAGTAACCCACGTAAGAGCATACATCAATGACTCTTATACATTTTAAGAGTCTAAACTATGAACTTTGGTCTAGTACCTAACAACATTGGCCAGATCGCTTATAAAAAAATTTATAGCCAGATCTACTAAACAGGAGCATTATAATATTACCAAATTCATTCAAGCAAAACTTCTCTAACCACAAAAATTAGTTCATAACATCTAATATATTAATATCGTAAAAGAGAATATAACGAGTTCTATTTGAGAAGGGAAAAAACAAACTAGTTGCGTATCAAACCAACACAATAATGAGATAATCTATTTTGTTTGAATAAGTCATGTCAGAAACAAAATGAAAACAGACATATACCAATACCAACTAGTAAACATCCAGAAGATGAAGAAATACATACATTATACAGTATAAGTATTCAATGCAATACAAACACTAACATATTATACTATCAAAGAAGCCTCATTTTATAGCTGCAGTAAACAAACCACGTTATATACCAATGCATCAAACAGTTACAAGGATAACGGAAAACTCACTTACAGTTGAAACGACGATGAATCAGGCGGCGAGGAATCAGTTGAAACGGCGATGAATCGGGCGGCGACGGTGAACCGTTGAAACGGCGATGAATCGGGCGGCGACGGTGAGCCGTTGACGGTGTTGGGTGTTGGAGTCGTTGACGGTGTTGGCGGCGACGGTGTTGGCAGCGGTAGGCGTCGCGGAAAAATGGGTCGGAGAAATGGGTCGTCTAATGGAAAATGGGGCGTAGTTGTACAGTGTTCGCAAATAAAAGAAAACTGTTTTTATACTTTTTTACATCGGTGGACTTTCCAACCGATACAAGCGTGTGGCTTTTACATCGGTGGAAAGTCCAACCGATGTAATATCTTGTTTTTTTTTTACACGCATTTTTTATGATTTTTTAATATATTTTATATATTAATTCAAGCTATCATTTTTTACATCGGTGGAAAGTCCAACCGATGTAATATCTTGTTGTTTTTTTTTTAACACGCGTTTTTTATGATTTTTTAATATATTTTATATATTAATTCAAGCTATCATGTTTTACATCGGTTTTTATTTAAACCGATGTAATATCTTGCTTATTTTTTTTTTACGTTTTTGTCACCTTGTTTCTTATTTACAAAAATGCCACCGTGTTTTTTTTCTGGAAATCTTTTACATCGGTGGATGAGATTGCCCGATGTAATAGGTGACGAAAATTTTTTTTCCCTTATTTTTTATATCATTGCAAATAAATACCTGATGTAAAAAGTTTGTTAACTGTATTTTTTACATCACCTATTTTGATACCCGATGTAAAAACTTTTTCTCAAATGTCTTTTTTTTAGTAGTGATAGAACACTACTATAAAAGTCCAATGAAGATGTTATGTTTAGGTACACACTATTCTAACCTTAAATACCTTTCATTCTTTATCGTAGGTGACTCGAACATCAGAGTGTTTATAGGCACCCTTTTCTCGAATCGGAGCATCAAGATGCAGTACCGGTTAGTAGAGTTCTCCATTAGATCCTGGTTCCTCCCTACATCTCAGAACCACCTAGGTCCATCATGGACTTCTCATCAATCCATGCAATAAGAAAAAATATCAGAATAATTGAAAATAATAAAAGAATATGGAGAAACACATAACATATTAGCATAACCCTAACCATATTCTAATCAAATTTAATACATAACACCTTATGAGTTTCTGTCATAATTTTTCTCTCGTTGCACTAGCACCTCGTATTAACTTTTACTATTATTTACCATTATGCTTCTTATCTACTTCCAAAAGGAAAAACAATCACTATAATGTTAATGCAACAATATAGAAACCAAACCAATTAACATAATTTTCACATAGAGATTCAATTGTTATAAAGAATAACCCTTACTTTGGAAAAACAACCATGTCCCCAAACTATGGTGCTATGGTATTTTAGCATATCAAATGTTGTGTGGATTTGGCAAGAGCCGGTGAGGGAGAATCACAATTGAGGAATCATTCTTCCATTGAGTCGTCTTATAATTCTTCCTTCAAGAGAATGGTAAATGGGACATAGACGTTCGTCTCTTCGATTCTAGATTTAAAAATGTGGGAAGTTTTGGTCTCCTCCTATTTGATTCTCATTATTATAATGCTTAAAAAACTTACACGAGGTTTGTCAGTATGACAATTATCATGTCTTAAACTCTAAATCTATTTACTCGGACATGATGATCAATAAAACGACAAACAAACATAACATACATTATAATGATGAGAATAAAATTAATAAAAGGAATACAAGAATTTGATTAAAATAGAAAATGAACTTGAAATGAATCGCTCCAATAGTCTCGAACAATACAACATAAGCAAGAAAGCATAAAACTTAAGCTAACTTAGAACTTTAAGTAAAATTTAGTACAAATAATTCTTGGACCTTTTGTTCTATGATTACAACATATTTATAGGCTCCAAACGACACTAATTGGTAGTAAAGTGCCCTAAAGACGAAGCTTAACCGCAATGAAATCAATGGATGCATAGCACTATTGAAGAATATATTCAGAAGATGATAAACTCTTTTTGATAGGGTTTGAATAAAGGTTGCAAAAGAGGTATTAAATACATTAGTTGGGAAAATTGACCATGCACAAAGAATTGGGAGGAATGGGTTTTCGCGATCTCTACGGGGTAAGTAGATATAATATTACATAACAATAATGATAAATGATATATATATATATATATGTAATAGGTGTAATAATGAATGTGTTAATAATATAGAAATGATTTTTAAACCCTTGATAAAGTAGATAAGTTATCTTTTATGATAATAACAATGGTGTAAAATGTAGAGATTTGTTGAAGAGTTAAGTCTTTTTGGAATTTCAAGAAAGAATGATATGTAGTCCTATTACTATTTTTAATATGTAAATTAATAGATTCTAATTCTTTTTCTAAATCTGAAATAATTCTTCTTTATTCTTTAAATTTGTTTTTTCTTTGGATAAGTCCATATTGTCAGAGTTATTCGCAAGGAAGTATTTATTTTAATGAAAAATATTTTTAATTTATTTCATAACCATCATCATCGAAATTTATATCATTGTCTGAATTTATTTATGTATTATCAAAGTTTCTAAAATTTATAATACATATCTATCAAAGTTTCATATATATATATATATATATATATATATGTCTCAATGAGTTAAACATATTTATTGCTCGAATAAGCACACTTTTAATATAATCATATTTGTCATCTCAAAGATTTAGATTCTTCTTTTTCTAAATACTCCATGTTAAATACTCCATGTTATCATATATATATATATATATATATATGATAACATGGAGTATTTAACATGGAGTATTTAGAAAAAGAAGAATCTAAATCTTTGAGATGACAAATATGATTATATTAAAAGTGTGCTTATTCGAGCAATAAATATGTTTAACTCATTGAGACATGCTCAAAAGAATCAAATGACACAAATAAGGTTAAATCCTCCGTCAAATATTCATGGAAAACCTCCTCCTCTGGTTATTTCAAATGTAATGTAGATGGTCCCACATTTCAACAACAAGCTTGTTTGGGTATCGGAATATATGTTCGAGACGCACTATAAGAAATGTGTTTTCCAGTAATATGAAGTTGTGACCTGATTATCACGTGGTTAAAAAAAGGTTGTTGCGACGTGATAATCACGTCACTATAACTTTATATATTAAACAAATTAAAATAACGTTCAGATGTATGGATTCTATTTTTTTTAAAATAAAATTAGTTGTGACGTGGAATTCACGTCGCTAGCAAAAAGTTAATATAAAAAAAAAGCTCCAACATTCAGATGGAGGGATTTTTAAAAAAAAATTAAAATTTAGTTGTGACCTGTTTTTCACGTCGCAACATTTAAGGGGAAAATTATTTTTGGTTTTGACTTGACATGTTACAATGTTGTGCAGATGAAACGATTTTTTTTATGACCGTTAGGTGTGTTGCGACGTGAAAATCACGTGGCAAGGTTGCGACGTGATTTTCACGTTGTTACGTGACGTATATAGAAACGCGTGCGCAACTCCATATCCATATCCCTTTTGTTTCATTCTTTCACAATTTTAGTTTCTCAAATCTTCCATCCTTGTTTAAATTTCTTCAAAAATTTTGCAAAGCTACAATTTTATTGATACTGATAATTATATTATATGATTTGATTTCAATATATTGATATAATTTTGTTTATTGTTTATTATATTTACTAATACTAATTTTTGTTTTAATTTTTTTTGTCAAAATTGAAGAATATTGAAAAGTTTAGAAAAAGATTGAAGAAGAAGGTTGTTTGAAGGAGATTAAAGAAGAGGTATTTATGCAATTTTAATTTTATTTTATATATAATTTATATTTTATTTTGTTTATAACATTTATTATAATTTGTTATTCTGTTAATTTATAAATTATTTTAATTTTTATATATAATTTAATTAATTATAAAAGAAAAACAAATTCAGTTATTAAATTAAAAAAATAAATATTAGTGATGTGATTTTCACGTCGCAACTTAATTGTTATGTATATAAAAACAAAAGTTGAAGAGAGGCCGATATTACATGTATTAATTTAGTGATGTGATTTTCACGTCACTACTTTGTGACATGAAAATCACGTTGACGTGAAAATCACGTGACAAATAAAGTAACTTTTATTCTGCACCATTTGTTTTTCCTGTAAAATTGTCATTCTTATAAAATATGTTGTGACGTGATTTTGACGTCACAACTTTGTGACATGAAAATCACGTCGCAAACAATTTGCTACCCTCTCTCCAGCCACGTGAACGTGCACGTCGCAAATAATTTATTGTGACGTGATTTTTTAAATTGTGACGTAAAATTCACGTCGCAAATAAGAGTTTTTTTATAATGATGATTGTGGTCATTTCGTTATGACTAGAATAAATTGGTATCACATGAATCTTTAAGTCGTAGAATGTGAAACTTTGTGTTTGTATAATACGCTACAATAAATTATGGTTACATGTCTTACAAATGTCATTTTTGAGCTAGATTGTAAAAAAAATTGGTCGATGATATTCGTCATATAACTTATAATAGATTATAATATGACTTTATTATTGATGATTGTAGAGATATTCTAAAGAGGCACACCAACTTCAAGCTTGATTTTATTAGGCTACAAGTTAATAGTAGTGCTCATGATTTGGCAAGGGTGTCTATCTCTTATGCTCCTTGCATTGATTTTCATTATCCTCTTAAATATGTATTATGAATTTATTTGGTTATAATATGAGTCAATTTGGTTTGTGTAAAATAATCGTTGAAGAGAAATGTTTTGCTATAGATATAGTGTACAATTCAATTTAAATTTTTTATAAAATGATTATTGGAGATGCTCTATTATTTAAAAGATTAGTTCAGAACATCACCTACTTCAATCTAATCTTAAACTTGATCAATTCAAACTTTCATGGTTACTTAATTTTCACCTTGCACTTCTTTATCTTCTCCCTAGAGGTGTAAGTGGTGTGGTTCAGATGAAGAATTAGTTAATCAGTATTCTGTAGGAGGAGTTTGTTAATTAATTCTTACTAATTATATAAAATAAGTAGTTGGACTTGGTGATTCCTCTAACATATTGTTCTTATTTTACAATATGCTTGTGAGTATGATTCCTCTTTTAATTAGTATGTAGTATTAATCTTTTGTATTTTATATCCCATATTAAAAATGGAATGATAATATTTCGTTAAATCAGTTCAGTTGACGTGCATGTGGATAACTGTTTCTAGAGGTGAATATTCAAATTCCATACATTTCATATATTTATATTTAAAAGATAAAATTATACAAAAGTCACAAACAAAGACTCAAACACTTTATTCACCAATTTATAACAAAAGATCCTATCTTGCATGAAATCCAGATCCTATCATAATGATTCTTACACACAACTATTTATTCGGAAAGAAAAAAGAAGAATAAATCCTAATAGATATGATAATTAATAACTACATATGGTGTTATAATGAGGCATTTGCTTCTCTCTACTAAGGAGATTGTCCAATGGACTCAATTTGAGGTGGAGAAGAAGAAGCACAACACTTGCTGCAGCAAGTTCCTGGTGGTGGTGGAGTGCAACACACACACTGAATACATATCACCTTATTAACTGCACAACAAAATAAACTTCATGTGTTACTTAATTACCATAGAGAAAAAAATCATATAATTAGGGCATGATCATTTCAAAGTTTCAAAAGGGGACACAGGGTGCTTTACCTGCTACTAAGTCGCGTGCAGCATCACATGGTAAAATTGAAGAAAGAGCCATGGCAAAGATGAAAATTGTCATCAAAGTAAACTTCAGAGAATTGGTTGCCATTGTTACAAACAATATAAGAGAGGACTATTGACAAATATGTATGAGATATCTTCTTGTTATTGGAATGATGAGATCTGAATGCAGTGAATATATATATATATATATATATATATATATATATATATATATATATATATATATATATATATATATATATATATATATATATATATATATATATATATATATGAATAAATATTAGTTTGGCAAAGATTAATAAGGACTAGTGGATATAAAATTAGATAACCATAGTTATCTTAGTTGCCGTAAGGTTTGAATTTGGGGTTGATTTCCAAGTTAATATATAGAAAATAAGTAATGGGTAGACTCTATGTTCATTAAATCTAATTAGAGACTATTGTAAAGTGGTAATTACTAATTAGTATCATTTTAATCAATGAAAAATAAATATTTAATTTTTGTTATTTAATAGTTAATAAAAAATAATTTAGAAATATTCATATAAAATAACAGAGATCACTTTCAACTTGATTAAAGAATCCTACGTTTAAAATTGATACTGAAAATAAACAGTTCTGAAAATATATTAATATTTTCACTTGCACTATATAATATTTGATTTATTATTTTGAAAAAGTCAATAAACAGCTCATTTGGAGTAGCTAATTTTCATATGCTGGTCCAAGTTGAATAGGTTGTTCTGAAAAAAATAACTTGACTTTTTTATATATAATAAAAATATTTTTGACTTAATCAATATCTACGGCTTCTTCAATAAGTATAGTAATTAAAAATAGGCCTAATGTCAGCACTTTCAAATTTTTGGTCATGTACATTGCTGTCTTTACTTTGGTTTATCAATTACTATGAGTTTGACAAGCAGATGGCAATGAAAAAAGTGAGATATTAAAAATTTTAGAATTGATACTGTGATACGGTAGTAGAATCGATTATTTTTACTGATTTGCGTTTTTGTGTTTTTTTGTTCGCAAAATATCACGGTAAGCAAGAGTCGCCACGGACTTTTATTTTATCCAATCATGGAAAAGGAAAAAGAACAGAAAAAACCTTTTTTCGAGATATTCTGAGTAGATTATAGAAAGGGAATGTGTTAGCACCCTTTCTATCCATGATTTTTCATGGGCTCTTAGGTACTTGCTCATTCTTCAAATTGCTTGTGTGTGCTTGTCTTGAAAATGTTTTTACTTCGTGATAACCCTTGTATCAGTCCTCAAGGGTGTGACGAAGTTTGTTTTGAAAATTTGTTTTGAAAGGTGTTTGTGTGAAAAGTTTTGTTGAGCAAGTACTTAAGATTCTACCTACTTGAGAAAAGTCTATTCGTTTTCCTTTAGACAGCGCTATCCTATTATTAAGGAATAGGTAGCACCATCGTTTGAGTTGTAAGGGACATTCGAAAGGGACAAGTACAATCACTAAAGCAACAATTAGAAAACTTTAGTAGTAACCCTAGAGTCCTAAGATCTTTCAGAGGCAACATTTCCGAGGCAACATTTCCGAGACAACATTCGAACGAGACATTTTGATCTCTTAGACATGAGGGCAACCACTAAAATCTCCTATGCTTAATGACTGTTTTACCGAAGGCAACCGAAGTGAGGTAAACCCTAGGAGTGAATATGTGCATATGAATTGTTTCAGTTATTTAATCTTTGCACATTAGGTGATCTACCATTTTAATTTCAAGTAATCTTGTCATACAATCCTATTAGCATACATCTAGACAGTTAAATATTTGCAGGAATTTAAAGTGCGAAAAATAAACCTAGCTATTACAAGGCTTTGACAGTTACATAATTATGTTGATGGAAAATAAAAATGCGGAAGTTTAAAACCCTAGTTAAAACTATTACAGGCTCGAAACAGTTACGATAATAATAAAACCAATAAAAATGCGCACGGTAAATTAAAGGCGAGGAGAAATTGAAAACCCTAAAAATCAACTTGAAAAAAATATTTAAACTATTTTTGAAAAAAGATTTTATTAGGTTATGTACGACTAAAACCCTAATTCTAATTATTTTTAATTATAAAAATGAAATTAAAAATAACCTAATTTAAACTAAATAAAATAATTCAAGAAAATAAAATATTTTATAAAAAAAGATTTTATGTATTTTTGTGGTTTTTTTTATTTGAGGAAATAAATTTAATTGCAAAATTTAAAACCTAATTTCTATTTAATTTTAATTGAAACAAAATAATCAAATAAACTAATTAACCTAATTTATTTTCAAAAAAAATTAATTTTAATAAATAATATCTCTGTATATTTTTTTTAGTTTTATGAAAAAAAATAATTTTTGTGTTAATTAATTAAAATCATTAAAGAAATTAATTCAAGAAATAAAAAAAAAAGAATTAGAAAGAAAATGCAAACTGGGCCTGTATGCTAGCAAAAGGGGGGGTGCCAATTTGAATTTTTTAGGCCCAAAATGTTTCAAGCCCGGTCAGCATTTGATTCCTTGTAGCGTTGACTTGAGGGCGTATCATAGTCCCTCACTGCTGGAGCGTTGGATTTGATAATATGCTTGATCAAGCGGTTGGATGCAAGGATGTATGGTGGACACCCGGACGAGTGAAACACTGGATCTGTTGAAAGAAAATAACATAAAGGAAATGTTGGGACCTGGGTCGAACCCAGGTCCTTATGCTCAATACCAATGCCTCATTGCCAGGTGCGATACACGTTTTAGTTGTTAGTATAAGGAAAACAAAATATAATGTAAAAAAAAGAAATCCCTGATTCCCAAGCGCGCGAAATTTCAAATGGGCGAATGGATGGCTGACACATAACCTTCTTTCTCCTGGAACCGTCATGTTAGGTATATAACCTATACCTACAGACAACTTCCATGGCTAAAAACCTGTGTAATTCAAAAATTCACAAAATGCAATATAAATGGAATTGAAGACCATGGTCCAACCGACCATGATGTCCCGGTCATCCCAGTATCCAGCTTGTGGTCTAATTTTGCCTGTAGCCAAAATCCCCAAAACGTATATGGAAACCCTAACAATGGCAAGTGCATATATAAACTTCAAAAATGCAATTAAATTATTCAGTTAGCTTGCAAACACGATGAGGATCACAAATATATAACTTAAACATGCTAATGAGGCAAGAAATTCAATAATCGATTTGGAAAACATGAACAAACCGTGAGAGTGATTGTGTGCGTTTCTGGATGTTTCAAGCCTTGCAAATGCTTGCTACAGGTTCAGTGAGTCCTAGGGAGATGATTTCATCGTTAGAAATGCTTGAAATGGCATATGGAGCAAGATTGGATCTGCACTTTTCTTTGAAAATTTCAAGCTTTGTTCTTCTTGTTCACGTCTGCAAAACCTTGTTTTTTACTTTGTATACATCCAATATATATATCTAGGAATGAATTAGGGTTACAAACTTGGATTGAATCTTTGCAATTATGGGAGATTTGATTTAATTTTCAAGCTACATGTAAACTTTCTATTTTGAGCCAAATCATCCCTTTCTTGTACCAATTATGCTTGATTCGTTTTGGCCTTGATAACTCGGCATATTTTGATTGCCAACCTGTCCAAAAACCAAATCAAATCATATCTTTGCTATTATTCATCAATTATTTGATTTAATTCAATTTTTAATTAATAAAAAATCAAAATAAATTAAAAAATAAAGAAAATAATGTGTGGATGAATATTTGAGTCGTGGGCCATATTATAAGTGAGGTGCAAGCATAAAAAGTTAGGTCCATTTAGCAAAAAAATGCATTTTTGAGCACATTTGACTTTTGGCAATTTTGCAAAAAGGTCAACTTTGACAAATCATTTCGCCTCCAATTTTAATCCTAGATAGGTGTTCTTGGACTTTTTAGAAAGCTTAGGATTTCCCCTAAGCAACCCTTTTGGTCTCATCTCAATTGAGTCTTCCATGTTCATGTAAGAAGCTTTGACCCAAAAGGTGTTTTTGTTGACTTTTCAAAAGGACCCATAATATAGAAATTCATATCTCTTTATGAGTGCATATTTTAAACTTGTGGGATGAAGATGAATTGTAGGTAATTGCATCCTCTACAAAATGAGATTTGGACGCAAAATTTCTGATAAAGCATGTGGAAGTTATGCTTGGTCAAAGTTTGGTTGACTTTTACTAAGAAACCCTAATTTAGCAACTTTTGGGTTTTGATGAATTTGGAGCATTCCTTGAGGAATCATGATCAACCCTTGATCAAATGATTAAATTCACTTTAAAATGTTAATGTTGAACAAAAATCTTGAAGTTTGACTGTATGTGGGTCACAGTTGACTTTTGACCTAATATAGTCGATTCTCAAGCATCTGAGCCGTTGACTGAGCAAACTTCTTGTGCAAGACATGAAAATTGACATGTAGGTCTTGAGAACATATCAAGACCATGGAGAGCATGTGATACCTTTGGAGTCCAACTATCTTGAGGAAAATGGAAACCCTAATTTGAGGTACACTGCCTTAGGAGAAAGTTTGTCTGGTCCACTCTTGGGAACCTTGAGCAAATTGAGGATCTCTAGGAGCATGTATTGAGTAAAATGAGAAGGCAAATTTTGGGGTACAACAGATGCCCCTGTTCAATCTTCTTAAACCTTAGGATGTAGATTGGCTAGCCTTCTTTTCGTAATCTGAAGGTGGAAGATGATTGAACAATAGAGTGCCCAGAAATTTGCACTCGCATGAAGTAATACTTGATTTGTGATATCGAGAATGGGCTTATAGATGCCATTTGGAGGTTGATGATAGAATACTGTCGGATATGGGCTTAAAGATGCCATCCTGGATGTGACGGAGAATCGTCGGAGATGAGCTTAAATATGCCATCTAGAGAATGTTGATTTCCTGAGATATTCCTTTGACGAGAGTCCTTGCTATTGTTGATGAGGAATCTGCTGTAGAACGTTGGTATCTGTCTTGGGTGAAATAGAATTTTAGGAGCTTCAGTTGTCCGTTACTCTACT